CTCTATGACTATAGATCCGCCCGGCATCCACTTCTTGAAAGATGTGGGAGACAAAGGTCTGTTCAAAAGATTCTTCCTTTCCTTCACACTCGCATGCTTTTCCCGTTTTTCCCAACACGTACGCTTCTTTCTTGGCCTCTCTCCTCTATCCAGCATTGAGCTGGTGACCTTCCACTCTCCAAAGGCCCATAAAGTATTGAAAAAACAATCAAATGGAACTGAACTTTGCCAGATGACATCCGTACAAAGGACCAAGCTCATGAAAGGAGGGAGGGGGAGCACAGTGGAAATACAGGCTAATAATAAAACAGACTGGAAAGCAGATCTCGCAACAAAACAGGAAGCAAAAAGCATGCATGCCACTGAGGAAGAGGGCCTGTCCTAGGTGAGGACTGCCAAGTCTTGGTATTTGGTGTTTTCTAAGAAATAGATGTGAACGCTTGACTTAAATCACAAAATGTTTGTTTATAAGCTTAGAGGGGGAGGGGCAGGAGCAGGGGACTACAACCTTCTAAAAAAGATTCAGCCCTCGCTGGTTTGGCTCAATGGATAGAGCCTACGGAGTGAAGGGTCCCGGGTTCGATTCTGGTCAAGGGCACATGCCCGGGTTGTGGGCTTGATCCCCGGAAGGGGGGGGGGGCGGCCCGTGCAGGAGGCAGCCGATCAAAGATTCTCTCTCATCATTGATGTTTCTATGTTTCTATCTCTCTCTCCCTCTCCCTTTCTCTCTGAAATCAATAAAAATATATTTAAAAAAACAAAAAGATTCCGTTGGTTCTTCTAAAGGGAAACAAGATCTTCCCTTTTCTTCCTACCCCTCAGAAATTCCAGAGTCTATAACAGTCCGAAGTGACTCAAAATCACTCAAGAGCAGCTCACTGATTTGATTCCCTGGGAGTTTACATTCAGGCGCCCATTTCTGCGTGTCTCGCGTTGGAAGCATCCGATCTGGAATCAGAAGACCGAGATTCAGATCCCAGCTCTGCCATGTCTAAGCTGCATGACTTTATGTGGGTCCTTTCACCTCAGGGAGGTTCTGTTTGTTTCAAATCTATAAAACAATAGGATGCCTGACAAACAGCATGCATCCCGTGCACCGTAGGTAAAACCAGCATTTTAAACATTAAAAGCCCATTACCCATCCTTCTTGGAAATCTCTACATTGGTTGCCAACCCAGAAAGCCAGACCAATTCCCGAACCTGGCACTCAAACCGATGCCAGCGGCACTACACAGCAGCACACTTGGAAGAGCAGCATCCTCAAGAGAAACAGAAACCCGTTACCTTGCAGTCTGCAAAAGAATCGTTAAATGAAAAGCGAAACGGAGGGGAAACCAAGTTTCCTGAGATAAATACAATGCTTTGCTACACTGGTATAATAACATAAACAGTTTTCATTTCAAAATTTGACTTCCAATAAGAAGCACTCCTTGGATATGTACCCACACTGCTCCGTAAGTGACTTGGCCCAGGCGCTTAACTGTAAATACTGTCCTCGTGCTAACTGCTTCCACATGTGCATCTCCAGCCCAGGCCCAGCTCCAGACTCTCTCATTGTCCACAATACTGGCACTGAGGTTTCAGGAACAACGTGAACAAAAGTGAGCCCCAACCCTGTTCCTCCTCCAGTCTTCCCCACTGCAGTTTATGACGATTCCACTCTTCTAGTTATTCACACCACAGACCGTGGAGTCACCTTGGGCCTTTCCTCCTCACATCCCACATCCACAAACCCTGTTGGCTGTACTTCAAAATATACCCAGGGCCCAACCTCTCCTCACCACCTCCATCACTACCACCTGGCCCAGGCTTCACCTGGAACATGGCCATCGCCTCTGAACATGTCTCTCTGCTTCTAGCCTTGCTCCTTTCTTTTTTCTTCATATGGCAACCAGAGTGGGCCTCTTAAAAGGTAGGGTGGATCGTGCCCACTCCACTGCTCAAAACCCTCCAATGGTGCCAACGGAGTGAAAACCAACGTCCTTACCATGGCCTGCAAAGCCCTCCACCACCTGCCCATCTCTCCCCTTACCCTCACCACCTCTCTGACCTCATCCTCAGCATCTCTCCTCCATCACATCCCTCCAGCCAGGGGCCTCCCGGGTGGTCCACAAACCCGCCAGGGGTGCTCCTTCTGTAGGACTGTTGAATTTGCTGTTCCTTCTGCCTGGACCACTATGTCCCATTCAGCCACACAGCTTTTTCCCCTCTTCTTCTGATCTTCACTCAGCCGGCACCTTCTCAGGAAGGCTTCTCTGAGGACCCAAACTCAAAATTGCCACCCCAGCCAACATTCCACAGCCCACTTCCATGCCTTATTATAACATCATATACTTGGTTGTTTTGTTTATTGTGCCTTTTCCCACTAAAATGTAATATCCACAAGGGCAGAGATTTTTGCCTTCCTTGTGTGCTATATTCCCAGTGTTTAGAACAACACTGTCCAATATAATTTTTAACTTTCTAGGAAACACATTTTTAAAAACTAAAAAAGAAAACAAGTGAATTGAATTCTAATTACACTGTGTTTAATCCAAAAAAACTTAAATAACCAATTAGAGAATGTACTCACGTTGTATTAATATTATATTTATTATGTTAATGTCATATTTACTATAATATAAATATACCAATGAGATATTATCTTTTTTTATACTAAACCTTCAAAATCAGGTGTGTCTTTTACGCTCATAGCACATCTCCAGTGCTACACAGCCCCATGTGTCTAGTGGCCACCATCCTGGACAGCTCAACTCCAGAACAATGCCTGGCATAGAGCAGGCACTTACAAATATTCATTGGACGAGAGAATGCTTTCCCAGGAAGAGGCAGCTATGGTATAGTACAGAGTTCCGAACTTTGATTGCATCCTACAGTCACAATTTTTGCTGTCTATATACTATTTTTTTTTCTTAAAATGGCATACGTTTATACTTGAAAAAACACTTTAAAATAAAACTTTATGTCCTTCTATGACTGGAAAAGTATGGGTCTAAGGATAAAAGGCCTGGCCTTGGGTCCCTGCTCAGTCATTCACTAGCTCTGGACTCTAAAGCAAGAACTTTGTTAAGCCTCGGTTTCTTTATTGGTAGAACAGGGACAACACTGGCCTTCACGGGACTGTGGTGAAAGTTAAATGAGATGCTGATATCGGCCCTTTGTGAATGGGAAAGTAGTCATCAAGTAAGAGACTGAGAAGCCCAGCCAAGCCTTTTCCCCAGGCCTGTCGTATTCACTATGGACCAATAACACAAACTGGCAAATCGGACGAGAGAAGAGCTAGGACTTGGGTTCAAATCCCTTGTCCTACACTTGTTGCTTTGTGACCTTCAGAACTTGTATTCACTAAACACTTACCAAGTGCCACAACATGCCATACACTAGGCTGTTAGCCCAACAAACCAACTAAGATATGACTCCTGCCCTTGAAGGATTAGCAGTCTAGCAGGTCAACAAGAAAGAGCAATCAACTGTTGAAAAATCAAGTCATCTCTCTTAGTTCTGCTTGTTCATTGTGGAATGAGAATAATACCTTCCCAACATAACCCACTGGACTGCTACAAAAATCATCTGTAAATGTTTATCCAATACTCCAAAAACTTGAACTCATAATACGTTAGCAAAGTACTTTTCTTCCCCCTACTTGTAACATTTTGGGTTCAGAACGATGCCGGCTCCTGTGACTGTCCAGCCTGAGCATTCGCTCCAGTTATACCACACCCATGAAATTCATTCCACTGCTGCAAAGCTTAGTCAACACAAAGAAAAAAAAAGGATGAACAGCTTTTCACAAAGGCATTTAATCTCAAAAATCAAGGTCCACGCCATGGTTCTAAGGAGCACCACACAGACGTCGCAGTCACCCTATCTAATCACCGTGTGTCAAGATAAGCAGTCACATGGTCAGGGAAGCTGAATAATGTAAACGGAAGAGGGAAAAGTCATGAAGCCGGGTAAGGAGACACTGTCCAAGGTTTCAGCAGTCGCGATGGTGCTGAGGCCATGCTGAGCTAGGTGGTCCTCAACAGTTTAGGCTAAAAGCCATTGTACGGCCAGAGCAAAAGTGCCCACACTTTTTTTTTTTCTTTTTTCCCCAGCTTAGAAATTGATGGGATCTGGGGAAAAAAATCTCAAAGAAAGATGATCTGCAGGGCTAGGTTCCCAGGAAGTGGAAACCCTCCCTACCCAAGCAGGGCTAAGTGGGTGTGACGAAAGCAAGAGAAGATCCTGTGGTCCCTCCTGAAGTTTAAAAACTGACTGGGACCGAAATCAAAGTCTCGGGTAACAATCACTTCCGAAGGAGGGAGAAGGGAGAGGCTCCCAGCTGGGGTTCAGGCAGCATCTTCTGCATCTCCCCTTCTCTCCCTCCGCGGCAGACGCCCACTCTCGGGCGCCCCCTTCCCGTTCAGTCCCCAGTCGCCCCTTTCCTCGGTCCCGACCCCTCCACAGAGGCCACCCTCTCCATCCTTGGCGCCTAAGCGCCATGCCCCTTCC